GACCAAAGGACCAGCGGGCAAAGGACCAGAGGACCAAGGGTCCAGAGAGAGGATGAAAGGACTAGAGGACCGGTTACCAAACAATTTTTTTTTGATACCTCTCCCGTGGACCCTCAACTGTAACGCCGAAGACATCCAACCGGTAACACGGAGCGACCCCGTCGAAACATGACGGAACGCCGGTCGGTCGAAATAGGACTCTCGTCATCACCATTCGACCGGCCTACGGAAGCCGGCCATTCGCCGGCGGGCGAATCTGGGAAGAAACAAGAAGTTGACTGGGAACAATGCGCATCTGGAGAACACACTCGGAACGTGTTGAAGAGGTTGCCAGTCCAATCTCAAGCAGGACAGGCCGGCGGTATTGAGGTAGTAGTATTCGCCAGGAGCCTGTCAAATGCGATTGGCTTCAGCTGCAGGAGGCAAAGTGACCCTGGGAAAACTACCACAGAACCTTGCTGCTTCCACCTTGAATCGATCAGGGTACCACTTAGGCTGATGTGCTCAATCTAAATGAATCCTTGCTTCGTTCAATCCCCTAAAACGCACCTCAGTTGTGAATCGTCCATTCAGAGCATTTGATTCTCCTAGGATGGCTAGAGATCACCCCTCTTTGCTCGACTCCCTCTTGCAGGGGAAATCTACATATCACCAGCTCATTCCCTGCTCACCGGCTGCGAGCAACTCAACTTGAGAACGACTTAGACCCATCCCAACCCCCAGTCACCTCCGATCATCTTCCTCCACAGTCCCGAAGCGCACCACAACTCACCAGAACTCTAAGACCAATGCATCTCTCATCCCTCAGACCCGAAAACCACCTTCCTAACCTCACGTAGGCCCGAACCACCCAGAACTTCCGACACGTCCGACGTCCCAGTTCAACATCCAAAAATTGGAGTCAGTCATTCACTGAAGTCCTTCAGCACTCCACCCCAACGCTCCACGTGCCTCCGGATGCTCCTTCAGCTCCCACGGCGCCGGCGGCGTCGAGGGGAGGTCGGCCGCGGGCTCCGGGGTGCGGGTACGCGAGCGCCTCCAACGGGGCCGGCGCCGGGGTGGGTGGGCGGGACCGGGAAAGGAAGAAAGATGGATTTGAAGAGGGAACATGATGTCAGTTGATGTGGAATCACCACGAAAGACCACTTCAAATTAATGTTAATGTGGAGGACATGTGGTAACAATAGGTGACAACAAGTGACGGCCCAACCCTTCTGGAAGGCCATTCCAAAATGAATCGAACATGATGGAATCCTACTCTCTACGGATGTAGCAAAACTCACCGCCCACAAACATATATATATATATATATACATACACATAGAGTTAATACACCCATTGACCCTGGGCTTGATCGAAAGGATCTCTATTTGCCAAAAAAGAGGGATCCATGATGATCCATGGTTCTGATGTCTACCATTCATTTGATTTGATGTCTTAATGATGTGTGCCATTTCGTTTGAAAGACAAGACCCATGGTTCTGATTTTCATGGGATCTTGTGTAGATTCTACTAAGGCATCACCACCGGTCCCACCGGCCGTGCCTCCCGTTCTCCAGCCCTTCGTCTCGGCCAGACAGCGGGCGGACGAGCTCGGTGTCCGGCTCGGGCGCCTGACGTGGGAGGAGCTGAGCGGCAGCCTCCACCAGTTCGGTGGTTTAGGACGTAGCAAGAAGCTACGGATGTAGCGATGCCCTTAGTTACTAGATGTTACTAGATGTTACTCTAGGACCCCCCATCTGGTCGAAGACATCTTGGGGTTGGGTTGTGCCATCTGAAACCACTGTAGCCCGGATTGCCGGTAGATCCGAAAGAAAGATCGATGCAGTCTGGGAGACCGGACATGGGCGGAGCGCATGGAAAAAATGTGAAGGGGGGTGCGGACCCCGGACTGTGTGACTGTGCGGAGAGCGATCAACACTTTTATGTTTTATTCACATTGACCTACGTTCGAAGAGTTTTCGCATTTGGCATATGGCGCTTCCACGGCGTATTGGGCCTTCGAAGTGGGGACTTGGGACTTCTTCTGGAATTGGGAGACTCCACCGAGTCCTCTTGAAACAGCTTCAACGGCTCAAGGTGCAGGGCCTTTGAAACGTGCACGCGGCGCACGCGGCACTGGGGTTCGCGCCACTCCGGCCTCCTCTTCGTCCCCCTCGCCCTCTGCCGTGCCGAAGCGGTGGATCCTGCGAGCATCGGTGGATCCCAAGCTGTGACCGGAGCAAGGAGAAGGGTCTTGGAAGGCCTTCCCCCAGCTGCCCAATGAGCCAATCTAGTGCAGCCAATCTTGTCACTCAGGACTCACCTGGACCTTAGGCTAACTGCGGCTAACTGCCAGTGGGTAGGCTGGCAAAGCCTAAAGCCTGTCTATTTCGACATATTGTACTGCAGGGCTCGAGCTTGCCATGCCCTGTAGCTGGATTAACTCGGTGCCCCAGTGGTCACAGGATCACACCATGGTGCTTCCTACATGTCACGTTTCATGCTGGGAGGCTTACCAAAAAAAAACAGAGGCAGCTGCTCCATTGTGTTGCATCTGTGCTCATAAAGGGGAAGGAGGCGGACGCAATGAAAGTTGTTTTCGGAGCTTCTACGCCAGGCTTCCTCAGTGTTTGTCGGAGGGATTCCCACTGCCTGTGGCCATGGTGCCAAGGTTCTTGCCGAGCAGAGGCTCTGTTTACAGTGGAACGGCCTTTTGCATGGTGTTGACCCTTCGAACCGCACAGTCGAGGCTGCGTAGTTTTGCTGGAAAGCAGAGGGAGCCTTTTCTTTTTATTTGGCTATTGTGCATGCGGAGTGGCAGTTTGGTTACTTCGCGCGGAAAGCTGGTATTGACTAGTTTTCGGGCTTTGAAAGCATGAAGATGGCTTCCACGAGGCCCTGGAAGAAGACTTCTGCTTGGAATAGTGTCAGTAGAATGAGCTTGATGTGCCTTAAACTTGTGGTTTGAGGACTTCATTGCTGTTGAACGAGCATCGGAAGTGGCCTGGCCTGATGAACAGATGACCAGGTTGATTGCTGCTCAGCCTCAATTACCCTTTTCGTTACGCCACCCAATCAGATCCAATCTGGGATTTGTGATGGGTGCGACTTGTTTTTGGCCTTTGTGTCGGTACCTTGGGGCTTTGCGGCCCGCAGCTTGCCGGAAGTGGTATGGCTGCTTTTGGCCTGACTTTTAGTTTTGCCACAAGGAACGCGCAACTTTCATATTCAGGGTTGTGCCTGGCCTTGTTCAACCTGATCTTGCCCAGTACAGTACCTGGGACCGCTTGGGCTTAATTAGATGCACGGCAGCCACAGACAGACGTCTTAGGCCTATGCGAAAGAAAGGATATTGTACTGCCTCCAATTGCTCAAAAACCTGGCTGCCACTTCTTGACCCATCAGACCTCTGCTCCGTCATGATCATGCCCACATAGTGACACATCTATATTAGTATAGTATAGGAAGAAACAACAGAAAAAAAGGGGGTGCAGTACGCCAAGAATGAAGCTGTTTCCTATTATTTCCTCAAGCCCTACGTGTCACAAATCTGGAACAGGGTGTCCTGAACTTCTCCCAGCTCACCACCCCAGTCACCGCTATACCGCGAGTGCCGCTCATGCCCTTCGACCGCTCGCCCCGCAACCACCGGGGTCTCGCGCCCCCCCGGTCCTCCCGAGTGCATTGCAAATGGACGTGAGGGAACCGCTCACTGTCGTGACCTCATCGGGTGCAAACACGATCCGACCCTCAAGAAGCCACCGGATGACCGGATGAGCCAGTCCTTTTTGGGGGGGGGATGGATTGCTGGTGGATCCTTTTGGCCAGAATGTATCAGGATGTCTCTCACCGCATGTCAATCAACATCCCGGCTTCCTTTCTACTTAGAGTTGAAAACGGGTATAATTAAGGGTCAAGCGATTCGATCTAACCCTGACATGCAAAAGAACATCTAATTACACGGGGAAAAAGGATGCAAAACAACGATAAATGTGTCCCGTTTGCTGGACCAACTGTACCGATGCGCCCCCGCAGCAGCCCCTCAGATCCTCCCGGCTCCACACCTCGCTCCACGTCTCTGAGTTCCCCACTCGGTCCATGCCCATGTCACCAGCCTCCACCTGTGAAGACTCGGAAGACTCGGGGAAGCTCCGAAGTTCCACGCCAATGACTTGCACGAGGGCCCCAGGGTCACCCAAAAGGACGACCCCCCCGGTTGACCCAAAAGGACCAGATATTTCGAAGCATGTCTTTCTATAGCGAAGGGCAGCTTGGACATGTCTTGCCACCTCACTTGTTCAAGGTAGATGACCTTGAAACTTGGGTATGGAGATGTGTGTCTTTCTCATGTTATCTCATGTTCCCAGATTCTTCCTAGCTGTTTGGGGGCCTGGCAGTTCTGTGTGAATATTCCGTTCCAGCCCATGTCCAGATAGAACTCAATCTCAAAGAACTGAGGACGAACCACAGGTTCTGAGAACCTGTTCCAAGAACACTCCCTGATCTGTTGTTGAAATTGATATCTGATCCCTTCAGCGGACAACTTCGACTAAGGTGACTACGGTGACTGAATTTCCTGCAGTCAGCTTGTCTGGTTTGAACAACGTACCAACAAAGCATTTAGATTAATGACCTGCCCCAAGAGAATTCCATTTCGCAACAAGCTGGCAGCATAGCTGTATAAGAACCTCCTCGCTTCTTTCACAAACTTTGGAGAAAACAAGTTTCATTCCATGATGTGCTTTCTTGGATGAGCTTGTAATCCAAAAAGGACGTGCTTCCTCGGAAGAAACCTTCAGTCTTGGTATACACCTTCCTCTCTTTATGTCCAATAAACCCTACACAACAATGGTAAGCTTTGCTTGCACCTGATTTGGGGGAAATACTTTCGAAGGAACCTCAAAAACTTTCAAAGCAAGGGATCACAAAGTCGACCCTGGGCTCAAAGTCAACCACAAAACAATATCAGTAAAGTCAGGGTTCACATCCACAGTACCACTGAGTCACTATCCACTATCCTTTGTCCATCTTGATGGTTTCACCAGTGAAACCGGTGGGTTTCGGACGTGTTTCGCACGGTTCCGAGGGTCTTTTGGTTCGGAAAAGGCATGAGATCGGTGCCCAAAGACTGAGGTGAAAGGCTGAACTCCAAAGACCCCAACAAAGGGTTTGTTCAAAGACTCATCTTCAGATTCATTTCTATTCCTGAGGTGTCTTTGTTCATCTATAATCTATTGTTTTTTTTGTATTGGTGCCTGAATCATCTTCAGTTTCTTTCTTTTCCCTCTTGCAGTTCAGTGGCTGACATGAGAATGTCAGGACAGTCCTTTCTCTGCAACAAAGGATTGTTTGGGGTCCAAATCAGCCAGACGACCAGAAAGCTTCTGGAAGAATTGATGTTTGTAGGTAATTCTTGCCGAAGGACCATGACCATGATTACTGGCTGTTTGAGCTGTTGAAAAGGTTGTCTTTTGAAATGGCTGTTGTAATGCAAACAACCTTGCTCCAAACAGAAAATTTGTCACTTGTGTATTGAGTTCGGAATTGTAACAATCTACGGTTCGGGACTCCCGCCACACTTTACAGCACAAAAGATCTGGGTGTTGCTTATACAATTACAATGGTCTGTTTCCTGACACCTATATTACCCTTATACATGCCCAATAGATCAATGGCTCCATATATTTTCTTGTTCATGAATACTCATAAGGTGGATGGTCAAGTTCGATCAAATGGGAATTAAGAACTATATCCCTGAAATTCCCATCCAAAATTGACACCGTCAAGGACAACCTGAAACTAGTAAGTCTGATGATCTCCCAAAAAAAACACTCGAACCATATACATATATATATATCATCTATACATGACCTCAAGCTGGTATGCCTTCTCCCAAGAAGCCACACATGTATCCAGGGCAAACCCCGGGCGAACTCCTGATCCTCCCTCGCAAGTTGCCTGGACATTCGTCCCGGTCTCTCGCTGGAGCTCCTCGCGTGGGACGTGTCAGGTGTCAAAGAGTCTTCTGCTCAGGAGGTGCAACCCCTAGTTGCCATAGATAAATCGTTGTATAAGGAGCCTTGACCCCCCGAATTTCAGAGTGGCGAATCAGATCCTCCATGCTTAAACAGTGGCACCCCAAAGCTAACGGGCGTGCTTTTTCGGTGCTTGCAGCATCTGGGAGCGTCCAAAAACACCTGGTGTCATGCTTTTCAACCACACGTTGTGCTTACGATGAAATCACATCTCCAACGAGCAAATCCCCTTCTCTGTCACCCAACAGACCCAACCATAGAGGCAAACCTCGGGTAAACTGGGTAGTAGACTGATCCTCACCCACTGGGTCCGGGACATGAGGCCCGAAGCAAAGCAGCAAAACCCCGACCGGGACCGGGATCTTCCTATCTGTTTCACACATCCAAACGTTCTCCTTAGACCGCGGGACACATTCCAGGACACACTCCACAGATGTTTTGAACCTGGTAGAGGACTGAGTCTCACATGGACCCGATTTTAGACGTGGACATACATGGACCTGTTGAGGAAATCGCAGGAAGCTCTTGCTGCCGGCCTCTTTGCTCGTCATGCTCGTATCGTATCACAGAACCCCAAGCAACAGGCTTTGGGCCCGTGTTGGCCTTCTTTCAGGGCAAAACTTCCAGGACTCGCCCCCCTTTTTGGACCTCCACACCCCCAAGGATCCCTGGTGTCCTCCCTTCCCCTAGTGCCACCCTGCCCTGGAGGCCCCGAGCCTTGATGTTGGCGCCTCGCTTGCCAATCACCACCGACGCCAAGAACCTCCCGGGATGGTCGTCCCAAGCGAGGTTCTGCCGGTTCTGCTGTGGGAGTTGGAGAAGGGGAGGAGCCCTATTATTATAGGACCCCCCCCCTAAAATGGGACACCTATAGGGCTCAAGTTGTTAAAGGTCGAAATGATGTCAACAAATGTTCTCATGTGTTGACTGCCGTAACTCTGTATCTGCTGATACCTTGACTGTCCTTGACTCCTTTTGGGGAGTGGTTTCAGGCGAAAGGTAGCTACTCGTCCAGCAAACCGGATTTTCTCTGTTATGCTATATATCCAAAGAATCACTCCCGACGAAGTGCTTCCTACCCCGGAGTGGAGCTTGGACCTTCAGTGCTGCACGATGAACATGACCGAAAGCATCCATATTGGCAGTGTCCGCAATTTCGCCCATGGAGGTTTTGCTCTTGACTCAAACTCTGCTTAGTGCAAGTGAAAGGCCTCTGCTTCAACAGAATTTGGAACTTCACTTACTTGAACCTCCCTGACTCTTTGGATCGGACCACCAGGCTGCCTGGGCAGGAGCACCTTCAGCTCAGTCCCTGCGCGAGCCGCGTCGTCGCATGGGACGTCGCGCCCTCCTCGCTTGAGACTCGAAGCTGAGACTGGGCGTTCCACTCGAAGGAAGAAAAACCGATCTGGGCTGACTCTTTGGGGATGTGAAGTATGCCCCCCTCCCAAGTACGAACCAGCTGGCGCCGCTTTCTCGTTGTGTTCGCCCAAACCTGGACTTCCTGGACGTCCGGGACCGGCCGGTGATCCAACCGGGAAAACCGCGCCTGACTTCCGACCCTTCACCTGGTCAGCGGGACGTGGAGCGGCCCACGGTTTGGTACTCAAAGTGTCTGGTACCAAGTGGGTCTATGCGTACTCAGTGATGCTCAAAAGGAGCGCACGAAGAACACCGATCTGGGAGGAGCACCGACCTGTCATTCTCACAGTAGAAGTATGCTGTTAATCATCAACCATTGCGAGAAAGCGATGTTGATCCAAAAAGGCCACGCACACATACGACATCCAGTAACAAATATGCACAATCCTAAAAAGGACATGTTGAGGATTAGGAGCAACTTTGCAAAGGTGCATGTACTACAACAGTTTCAATGGGGTGCGTATTGGAGGATAGGGGTGCCTATCACCCAGTCGCTCAGGGACAAAAAAATCACCCCTTCTGGTACCTGCATACGTGTAAGTGACTGTAAGTGTATGAGTTTACCGAAATCTCCGCTGGACTAGTCCAACGATGGACGGCGGACCGTTCGGACGTCTCCAAACCGTCGCTTGTGCTGTTCGGACGAATCAACTCTCACCCCACACGACGCCAATGGACGGCCATGTTGTGACTTTTGGGATGTGGTGTGGAGGGTTCAAGGTAACTAGGCATATGTGGCCGAAGTTCCGTCCTCCCCAAAACAGAGGTCTGCTCTGGTCTCCCACCGAACTGGGCTCGAGCAGGTCTCGGTCAGTCCCACCGCACCTTTGCGAGCACGGCCTGAACCGCCTTGGGAAGCAACGGACCGCCACGCAACCCGGGCGGGTGGCGAACCGGCCGGCTCTCGGAATGAGTGCGGGTGGAAAGGGCGAAGAAGTCGATCGACGTGACCGCAGCTGCTGCGATCGTTTGATGGTGGACTTTCCAACCCACACCTCTTGCTTTCACCTCATTCTGTGGAAGTTTGTTCAAGTGAAGTCAAGTGATGTCGTTTCTATATCCCACCACCTGTTCCAGGTATGAGGACACTACAACCAAATCTCAGCATATCCCATCCAACCCATCCCAAAATCAATGGTTTGTCAAAACCCATCCCATCCCATCCCACAATCATGAAACTCTTAGACTTGAATCGGTCGCTCTAACGAGCTGAGTGAGTTCCAGCACTCAGCAGTGGGAGAGATTTCAGAACATATCCGTGTATGCAATTATGACCGTATACATTTGGGTGGTGTTGATGATAATAAATGAATGTATACTTACGCGAATGTAGGTCATCCTTTGATTGTGGCCAAGCACGCGACCCTGGACAGCCTGGTTACGTTCCCCTCAGTAACACTCAGCCTGGTGAATGGGTCACATCCCTGGTCAAGCGCTGGGCCACATGTCCGTCTTCTACTCCGACTTCCAAAGAGGCACCGCTCCCACCCTCAAATAGAACACCGCAAGAATGGAACATTATTCATATTATAGAAATGATATGAAATGATATGAAATCGGACTCCCTATCATGCATTAACCCAAGAACATCAACCACACCCAGCCCCAAAACGCACCCATTGATTCCACGCCACCACCCCTTTCCAACGCACCGAAACGCACCGTTTCGCACCGAGCAGCTGCTTGGATCTCGGCGCCCCGTTGCCCCCGGAGCGTCAGCAGCCGGTGACCCTCGCAGATCTGATGGAGCCTGGTGAGCCACCGAAGACGGCCCATCGGCGGCGACGGGCGGTGGATCGGGATCTTACTTACACTTACGGCTCATCCATCGTATGCAAGCAGCACAACTGAGCGCTGGATGTTCTTCTTGCAAATGGGATGAACAGTTCTTGACTGAGGCAGTTGGATGACATAGGGGATGTAAAGATGTGCCATTTAGGGGTCCATGAGGTAAAAAGGGAAGATTGTGACAGGTATAATGTAGACCTGTGACTAATATACCCCCCTAGAATAACGTCTTTTTTTCCTGCACTGATCAATAAAGGCCCCCAGAATAATGTATTCTTTTTTTTTGCAGGGATAGTTGTAGTGGAATATTTCTGATTGTTATAGTTTACTGTTTCCCTTTTGCTTTGCTTTACTTACCTAAGCTCTTTAGTCTTTAAGCTTTCCAAAAGTTTCCAAAAATCAGTACACACTTTCTTTACAAAATCCCTTATTCAAAAGTATTGAAAAACAAAAAACAATCATTCAAGCAAAGGGGGTAGTCCAGCAAGCAGCTTTCTGACATTATTTAGGGGGGGCCTCTAGAATAATGTCTAGAGATTTCAAGCTTAAAAAATAGTTTGCTTGAAGTAAACTTGTATTCATTCCCTTTCTTTTCCTTTTGCGTTGCTTTACTTACCTAAGCTCTTTAGTCTTTAAGCTGTCCAAAAGTTTCCAAAAATAAGTGCACACTTTTTTAGTATTCCAGATGTCTTCAATTTGAGATTTAATTGATTCCCTTTTATTTTTTATATTGCCAGAGAAGACCAAGAAGATTTTAATAAGGATTCTTTTCATTTTGGTCCTTTGATTAGTTTTCTTATACATTTATATTGGAGGCCCTGGTTGTTGAGGGGAGGGGGGGGGCGGGGGGGGTGATTAATCAAGGGACTACATTAGAGGGGAGAATTGACTTCCATGCTGAGAGAATGGGCCACAAAACACTATCATGCGACCCTCCAGCTGCATGACTGAAAGCAACTGTTCGGGGTTGGAATGCATGAACAGTTTAGGATACCCTCTCTCACCATCTTTATCCCCCCATCATTGGCGAGTGGAGCCTTGTGATGCTTTTCACCCCTGTCAGTCATCAGGTTCTGTGCTTGCTTCCCACCACTAAATGCGGAAGACTTGGCTTTGCTTAAGAAACTGGAAAAACATATTCCATGCACGAAACGCGCTGCGCAAGTCTCGTCTTAATGCGCCCGCGCCTTATACAACACTCCCGAACCGGAACTGTACTGCGTATGCGAGGTAGGGTGAACATCTGCGAAAATGCAGCTGCTGAAGGGAGTTCACCCGTAGTGTAGACTCTTGATTACTAAACTTACTAAACTACCCCCCCCCACCATTTGAATTGAAAAAGCATCTTCATATCGGGTGGTTTATGAATCAAGAGTCTACATTCCCAGACACTCCATGGGACTGGAATATAACTATGCCAATCAGTTGACCCCGCACAGGCACCACCACCACCCTTGGCCTGATCGGCAGTCCGGACTGGCAGTCCCACCCGATCCCCCCTCCCGGGCATCCCCGACCCTCCGACGGCATCGTGAAGATGCACCGTGGCCTGGCCGGGCCGGTAATGCAGGTGTGTCCCTTGAACAGGTTTGGATAAGACATAAGAACATAGAACATCATGAACAACTAGTCCCATAAAAACATACGACATAATGAACACCCTAGAAGTCCAAAGACTTAGTTTTGACCGACTGGAGTAAAGGAAGTTCCCTTTCAGGTCCCCTAAAGACCATAACTCTATAGTCTTTGACTCCCAGGTAACAGGTAGTTTGAACATAGATAGTTCTACAAAAGAGACAGTCCCATAGTCTTTTCTTCTTTATGTATTGCTCTGGGTCTCCAATAGTCTCCATGCCCCAATCCCCAGACGAACCACATCTAACCACACAGTCCGTCAACTGATTCACCTAAGGACTTCGACTCCAAAGGAAGGCGTCTTCGCCGTCGCCGTCGCGCCCAACTTCGACTCCATGACACCGACCGTGGACTCCGCGGTCGCGGAAGCAACTGGACTCGAAGCAGCGACCCGACTGGACTTGCCTCACGGGTGAGTTTCTGCATTCCCATCTGGCCCATCAGGGAAGATCAATTTGGGAGATCCATGAGGGAGTTCTGTGACTGGGGTTGTGTTCACTGCCCATGTGGTACCGATGACCAGAAGACTCGAAGACCGAAACATCGCTTCCACAACAGCTTGGCTCACAGCGGAGTGGGATGGCATGGGTTGTGGGGACTGGCCCTAGTCCATCCTAGCCCCTCAGCTTCCCAAGAAATCCAATCCGGGCCAGATTCTGGGCCTTTCTGCAAACCTCTTTTCATATCACCGAACCACCGGCCCCCCCAAAACAACCAGCCCCGTCGGACACGCCCCGTCTGACAATGCCTTGGTCTCATTGGCAATCTCTTTCAGCGCCCCCTCACGGTCCAACTCTTCTGCCCGCTCGTTCGGCAGGAGCACCTGCTACGACATTGCTGCATTCCGGTTCGGTCCGGTGTGTGTTCCACCGAAAGGAATTTCGGTTCACCGAACTGTCCAGGTAGGAGGACACCCAAAAAATGGGTCGGCCGCCGTGGCGACCGGCCTGGCACCAGGTCGCCCAAAAAGAGAAGTTGCTGGCGTGATAGGTTGTGTCCTCTGAAAAAAAAGGAACACTCTTCAAAACATACGTGGAAGTGATGCACCGAAAAGGCTTTACAAGGTGTAAGGTCTGTTTTGCTGGGACATGCCAGCAGTAGGTGTATGTTAGTGTCGTGGCTTTTCTGCTGTTTCAAGACTAACATGGAACCACGTGAAGGTATTTTCCAAGCTACACTAACATGTGAAAAATTCAACGAAAATATCATGGTTCAATGCTACGTATGTTTTCAGGAGAGTATAAATTGTATAAGATTCCATCTCAGGGAACACAAGTTTCATCAAGTGTCTCCTCTGAACAACTTAAAAGCACATTTCATGTTCAAAGAAAAACTGGGCAAAAACTGGGCAAAGATTTCATGATTCTAAACCAACAAAAAAGGCTCCGTCTTTGGTCACTCCAGTGCACCCGAGATGGGAAGGCCGCCCGGAAGACCGAGCTCGTCGGGCTCGGTAGAGCACCGAGGGACCCAACGGAGTTCAGCGAAGTTCCATGTGTCGCACTCCAAAGAAGATGGGAGGTCCAACAAAAACATCGTTGGAAGCCTCCGTTCATGTTCGAAGGGTGTTGACTTCTGTTCTTTTCTGGATAGGATGGATCTAGTCTACTGGCAATCTGACCATCGTGGAACGGAGACAAATGACATCCCAAAAATGTGTTTTCCCCAAGCTAAAATGCACAATCTAGATCAACAAGAGACGACTTGGTCATTTGCCTGTTCTTGGGGGTCCAAAAAGTCCGAATCCACGCTCCCTGCGGCCCTTCGCCTCTTTCCGGTCCAGAAGCTACATGGAACATCGCTTCAACTCCGCGATGTAAGCGATGCAAGGGGGAGAAATACTCAAAAGTCCCCATTGGACAGGCAAATCCACATTGGACAGCCTTCTTTGTGTTTTTGCAACATCCGAATCAACCTCGGACAGGCCAAATCAATCCACAAATAATCTGTTCATCCATCACCGTGACGACCAACAGCTGGTCGGACCCATCGACCCAAACGTCAAGGAACCAGTGGTTTCAGACGGCATCAGATTGCACTAGCACCCCAAGATGTCTTTTAGATTGGGGTCCATACAAACCACATCAAACCACTGACCAACTGGGGGTCCAGATGTGCCATTGGTCCTCCCAGTTCCCCAAAAGTACCTTTTTTATCCTTTGTAATATAGTTGTCATATATCATCGCTACCACTCCAGATGAAAAAACTTCACCTGGCCTCACACTGCTCCAGTTCGGAGGATCCCTTCACCAGTCGACCGGACGCCGTGCGGGCGAACTCGCCGTGTGCGCGTTCGCTCCGAGCCTTCATCTCTCCCCCAGCGGCAGGCCACTTTTCACCTAATGGTGGCCGGTCACTTCTGCCAGGGTTCCGAGAGACCACCGGTCGCGATGACTTGCAGTCTTCAAAAAGCTGAGAAGACTGGAGGTCCAAGCCGGAAACATCCAAACCAAGCGTGCTTGTCCCATCGACGAGTAACAAACCAAAAGCATTGGAAAAGCAGCATCGTGTGTTTCTGAGTCCTGTTGGGTGTTCACCATCGACCCTACAACAAAGGGCGCTGTTGATCTAACCATAGAAAGGGGTCTACGGTCTACCAAAAACTAGACGACGGGTGGCCCGAGAGCGAGAAAAAGAAAAGATGTAGATGTTAAGTTTGTAGATGTAGAACATGAACTTTAGTTTCTGATGATTTAGGATGTAGAAGTGGTGAAGCAGATACAAGAAGAGGTGAGAAGAAAGGAGAAGAAAGTAGACATGAAGTGAGATCTGTGAGAAGATGTGATGACAGGAACAAGTGGCGTAGAGGAGGTGAGCAGATGTAGCAGAGGTTTTGAATTTTGGATATAAAGGTGTTGAACAAGACGCAACAAGATGTGAGAAGATATGAGAAGAGAGAAGATCTTGCAAGTGAAATGAGTGAGAAAACGCACTTGTAAGTTATGAAAAGTTAGACATATAACGCTGAAGTGCCGAGAAGAAAAGACTTGTCAACTCTAGCGTATTGACTGTCAAGACTTTACAGCTGGTTACATCCCAAACTCTTGCGTCGGTGTATTTCTCGCTGGGTAGTTGACTCGCCTTACCAGAAAGAGACGGTGTCCGACGGCGACTATCTACTAGGGCTCCTGGCCTTACTGCTAGGAGCAAGGACTCTACACCTAAACCTGGCAGAAACAGCCCTATAGGTGGCAGAAGTCCCGAGGCCGTCCTTTCCCGCGCTGCAAGGAAGAGGGACGGGTGAGCCGTGCTGGTAAGGTTGATGACAGCGTTCGCAGAGTCAGCTTGACAAAGATCCAAAACTCCCAGCCAAAACTTCTGGTTTGCATGCTGAAAGAGCTCCTGAATGATCTTGTTGTCTTGAGCTGTCTGCGGGCCTTCTTCATCGTCTACTGCCTGCTCAAACGCATTGATGTCCTTGAAAGGATTGAAGCGCCCCACCCCCAAAATAAACGTATGTCCCCGCAAAGCCCTTCAGTCAAAGAGAAAAGGAACATGGGGTCCCTCAGTCAAAGAGAAAAGGAACATGGGGTCGCATAACAAAATGACAATGCCATGAGAAAAACTAAGCTTCTGTCTCTTCCTGATCATCAACCAAAATCCCGCTGGGCAGCTCCACGGCATCATTGCCAGGCCCTGCGTTCAACAGCTGCATCTTCACATCGTCTGCCTCCTTGACCGGCCGATGCTTGCAAGCGCTGTGAAGACAGCGAAGCCGAAGGCTTTCAGAAGAATTCGCCCTGACAAGAACAGTGCTCAGCTCAGGGGTGACAGAATACCCAAAACAAAGCACACTGTCTGTCCTGTCAGATGCTGCGGCGCACTCTATTTGGTACTGGTATACAAATTGAATCCTTTGGCCTGATGCACAACCCTCCCAAGTTGCCATCCCAAACTTAACCCCTCGGCCTTATAACACTCAGCAAAGGAGCCACGAAGGGGAAAGCAATTGCGGGCTTCTCAACGGAAAGCAACGTAAGGAACCGGCACGTGTTGTTCTTGGATTGCGCCGTGCTCGACCCTGTGACTGACACAACGTAACCTTCAGCCCCAAATAGCTCCAACAACTTCTTCTGGACAGCGCCCAGAAGGTCAAAGCGCTTCCTTGGCCAAATTTTACAGAGATTGCTAGTTGAGCATCGCCAGATCCAACGTTTTTTACAGTTAATGAAGGCAGTCAGAACAAAACACTAAATAAATCAAATTGCAACGAGAAACCCCACAGGAATTTCAATGACAAACCGTTCCAGCTTGCTGGTCTTCACAAGCTCCGCGATAAGGGTTAGGTACTTCATGGAAACACTCACCCGGCTCGTCTGGACATGCACAAAGAAGATCACTCTCCAAGTGGGAAAGACCCTCTCTTTCAAGGACTGGTCGAAGGAGCCTTCGTCATCATAAAGAAAGATCTGGTCGAAGAAAGATGAGGTCATCATCACCACCGCACTCTCTTCAGGATCCATCTCAGCAGTTGCATCAGCCATCGCCATGTCAAGCTTCGAAGGAGCATCGTCGGCCGAAGGGTCTGCGTCTGCTTCGGGAGCCTCCTCTAAAGAAGCACCTGGCTCAGCCAAGGGCTTGGAGCCCCGCTTCAACTTGTCCAACTCATGGTAGAAATCTCTGCAAGCCTGGATGCCGCAATTGGCCTGCGAAACCCCATGCAACGGGACGTTTGCCTTCAAGCAGGCCTTCACTTCCAAAAGGCCTTTTGGTTGCTGGAGGTACCCAAGGATTCTGCTCCTGGCAGGGCAGGAAGTGAAGGTCGAGCCGAACGTTTTCTCAAGATGCCGCTGCCAAAGCTCCACGCCCTTGAGGGGCTGGCAAATACTTTGCAGGAACCTTCACAGGACTGGCCACACACGGAAAAACGATACCAAAAAACCGCCCCAGAAAGTAGTCCAAAACTGAGCCAGATGGAGCTGAGAAACTCGTCAGCCCTGAGCGAACCTGCGTTGTCCTCAAGCATCTTCACGGCAAGCTCAGTCGCCTTCAAAGCAAAATCTGCAGACAGCTTCTCGGCCGCTGTGCTTCCAGTCAGGTAATTGTTGTCGAAGACAAAGAAACTCCCTGAAGGCCTTTCTTGACCTCTTCGCTCATGTTCTTAGCCGCGCGGAGCCACCTGCCAATCCTGCTTCTGGCGCTTTGCCCCATGACTTCTTGCATCCGCTTCTGGACTTTCGACCAATCGCCTCCTGGGCATCTAGAGCGAAACTCGATCCTCCACCAACCTGATCTTATCCACAGGCTTGTGCTCGGAAAATGTGTTGTTCTGCTGCTCATGTCCTGAGATCAGATGAGGGAAGAAATAGAAACTAATTCGTCCGCCCAGGAAAGAAAAACACCCCCAGACCCAAGGCTGCTACCATCACACCGAAGTACCCAGTGCGAGACACGATGCCCAGCTACGAGGAAAGCAGAACAAAAGAGCTGAAAAGATGACACAATGGCCGCGAAGCGTTTGTGCTTGTAAAGGATTCCGAAGGCTGCTGGCCCTACAGAGCCGCAGCCACACACATACTCTAATATCTCTAATGATTATTTTGTGCTTGGCTGCCGCGCCCCTTGCGCTAAGTCAAGCGGCTGTTGCACTCATACGCAGCATGCGTAAGGCGGTCATATCCCAAGCGGTAAGTGACAACGTCAACAGCAAGGCCATTCTCAAACGTGTCAACCAAGGACTGGCTGAAGCCGGCCACGGTTGTCTCCGCCGCATCCGAGCCTCCTGCCACCAATGCCTGCTGCCGCTTGGCCTTGTAGATTTCATAAATCTGCTGAAGAGCCAACTGTGGATTTTCCATCCTGCAGAATGTGTAGGCCATCCGTGTCGAGCTGCTCTGCAACGACCTGCACGCCACTGAGCAAAGTCTTCCTCAGCGGCACTGATCAAATACTCTTTACAGAAAGGCGCCGTCTGAATGCGGGGTGCTGCCATCCAAATTGCCAAGACTACATTTCATTACATTGATGAGAAACCATCCGCGGGAAAAAGACAATCAAACTGGAGCCGGGCTTCTAAAAGTTGCCATTTTCAAGCTCTGTTCTCAACACCTGGGCGCGCGCAGGGTCTTACCGGCGGTGCCCAGAAGCATCTGCAACCGACAACAAGTGAAGGGCAAAGCGCTTCCCACGTTCAACAACCTCTGGGCCCTCGTGGTCAGTCTCGCCACGAAATTTCGGAGGCGCCATTGTCGCAGCAAGTGTCGCAGCAAACTCTCTCAAGGAAATCTCTCTGGTTCACTGACTCACGCCTTGACCCTCAGACAAAAAAAGAATTGGGGCTCTGTTCAACTGTCTTTCAAATCTGCTCCCCACATCACTCAACACCAAAGCTGTCTCTCATGGCTAGCGGCTAGGGGCCCCGGCTTCAGAGGCCGCCTGCTTGGATCCTGGCGTTATGAGCTTGTTGTTGGGGACCTTAACCTATCTGGTTTTGCGGATGAACTCGAGGGATGATGAAGTGTGAGCCCTCGCCAAATTTTTTAGTGATGAGGAAATTCGAGTTCGGAAGTTTCAGTGATGCGGACGGCGTAGTTACCATTTGTGGCCCTAAAAGAGACAAAGACTTTGCGGGGAGCTGGGGTTAGTTCCTGGCCTCGGGGAAAACCAAAAAGTTTGGAAGTTCGCTATGGGCAGCTAAGGTGGTGAACCAAGTAGTTCGGAGGTTCGCGGTGAGCAGCTCATCGTGGGATTCTCCTATGGCAGGGGGTGGTGAACCAAGTAGTTCGGAGGTTCGCGGTGAGCAGCTGAACTGTGGGATAATCCCATGCCAGGGGGGGTGGTGAAGCAAGTAGTTCGGAAGTTCGCAGTGAGCAGTTGAACTGTGGGATTATCACGTGCCTGGGGGGCAGTTCGGAAGTTCGCGGTGAGCAGCTGAAACTGTGAGGTTACCAGCGGCGATGAAAAAAAGCTGAACTGTGAGGTAAGGAAAACGCTGACCTCGCAGTTCGGGTGTTCGCCGTGAACTCCTGAACTGTGGGGTAAGGAAGTTGATGACTGCATAGGTAAGAGACTTACTTTTCTTTATAAACTAAATGGATGATTGAAAAACCCTGAACTCTATGGTGCCAGCTTTGGTCACCAAACACTTCGGCAGTTCGCGGTGAACGCCTGAACTGTTTGGTAAGCTAACACGGGACCTCACAGAGCCTCACAGTTCGGATCTAAATCCCTACCTCAATGGTCACCACGCTGTAAAGTCTTTACCCCGCTCTCGATGCTGCCAGTCAGGCTCAAAAACACAAGTCAGGCTAAAGCTGACGCGTCAAACGCGCTGAATCTCACGCGCTCATGCGCTATACTTCAGGCCCACGCAAAGACACCGACAGGTCTTGAGAGACCTTCAACTTCTTCTTGTCCCGCTCAGGCCCACGCAAAGGCTCCGGCCCAGCCAACGGCTCATCCTCAGGATTCTCTGCCGGATTCTCTGCCGACCCTTCGGCTGCCATTGGCGTTCAATTCACGCACCCGCTTCTGAGCTGAACGTTGGGCTTCACTCTTCTTCAAGTCCTTTAAAGACTGGTAATTTCCTTCGCCCAACTCAACGCAAGCCATGACACTCTGCGATGGAAATGCGTCAGGGGACGGCCAAAATTCCTGAGCTTTGGCATGGCCGGGGCCATGCAAATAACACAGTGACAATTTAAAGCCACCACGTTTGCCACAGCAAAGCGCTGGGGTAACCACAAAACGGTCGCGAAAGAAAAAAAGTGTGTAGCAAACAGGCTGCTGAAAGAGGACTCTCTTGGAAGGGGATGTGGCGGAGAGACAAGAACTCAGAATCTGACAAGGTCACCTTGTGAATTGGAATCTCGCAGGTCCTTAATTCAGCTTCCGAAGTGGCATCTAACCGCAACAGCCTGGGACATGGTGTTCATACTTCAAAACAGCTTCTCCTGGCCAAGCATCTTTGGCACATGTGACCAATTGTTGGCCAAGAACCCCAGCATCGCGGTGATGTGAAAGTCCGAGAAGAGGTACCACACCTTTTCTGCCAGCGCTCATTCTCTAAGTCTCTACAACATTTAACAAAAATAATCAAAAATAGCTAGCCGTCCACAGCCAGATCCTAACCAGAATCTGTCCGCACACAGGTGTCTTAGTGCCCCCAAAGAGCTTCCTGCTCCTTCGTCGGTGGCTTCTTCATCAAGCCGTGGCTGTTCTTGTTGATCAGCGCCTTTGCAGCCACATCACCTCAAAAGGCATGGGAGCGCAAGGGAAATTATTTATATGAAAATGACGGGTTGGGTGTTCAAAACTTCCACGCTTGTCTGAAAACAGTTATCGAGACAGGGCGCATGCAGAACCCACGCGCCAGAAAATGTGGACGAAACTTGCCTTCTGCTGCTCGTCAACAGGGACCTGATTCTCTGGAGGCGGAGGAACTTCAGACTGTGTGATCTTCAACTGCGCAGTGCTTGCTGCAGCTTCCTCGCAATCTTTGAGTTTGAGCTCTGCAATTGTCCAGCCTGGAGGCAGGATAGTTGCGCTATGGAACTGGCCTGTTTGCGCGTTCCAGGCAAGAACCCCACAAACGCAAATAGATTCTATGAAGGGGCTCAGAGCTCGATAGGAACCAGCGGTAGCAAAGTTCATATCCTTGATGTATTCCGTCGCACTAGGTTTCCATAATCTCTTTAGAACATGTCTCTCCGAATTGCCAAGCAGCTGCCGTCTTGCTTCAAAAGAATCTTCTTGTCAGTGCACTGCTTCTGGAAGTTCCCAAGGGTCACCTTCAACAGGGTGAAAGTGCGCTTGCTCAAAATCGATGACGCGCCACCTCACCGGGCTGGCACAAGCTGCTTGAGAAACAAGTTGAACAGCTACTGCGCAGCGGTTGGTGCCCTCAAAAGAACATGTAATGTAAAAACAACACCACAAAGAGGTCTGGTCTAGCGCATTTTCTTGGGTCAATTTTCTTTCCTTGCCTTCATGGGCATGGAGTCTGCGAAAAGCAGCACCTCTTGGACTGCTGTCTGACAAGGACAAACCCAGCCTGAAATGCAAAGATTGAAGCTCAGACCAAAACTGCCGAAAAATGCGTCGACCTGAAAAATCAACCAAAGTACTGACCGTAAAACATCAGTTGAGAAACTCCTTGGCGCGTCCTCTCAGGAAGCCGACGGCGGCTTTCTCCGGCGTGTCCCAACAAGTCACATGGTACAAGGTCGAAGGGCAACCATTCTCCAAGGCTGCTGCCATCACACCGAAGTACCCAGTGCGAGACATGATGCCCAGGTACGAGAAATGCAGAACAAAAGAGCTGAAGATGACAAAATGGCTGCGAAGCATTTGTGGTTATAAAGGATTCCGAAGGCTGCTGGCCCTACAGAGCCGCAGCCACACACATACTCTAATATCTCTAACCTGCTGGGCTGCCGTACGCGAAAAAAGTTGAATCAATTTAGTTTTTTTGTGCCAACACACATGACCATTCGATTTTTCATCAGGTGAGGCAAGTACAGTGACTTTTTGACGGCGCTCCATGTGCCCACAGATTGTTTTGGCAATTGCATTGCGGTCATTCCTGAGAGTCGCTCGTAGCCCACAGGTCCGGCCCATGTGCACTGGTTGCTGCTAATTAGACGAATTTAAGAAAAACAAAAATCCGAGCCAAAACATTTTGAGTCCAGCTAGTGGTCGATGTCTTCCACGTCTTGACGAAGCCAAACTCACCAATCCAACGGCTCAGAGCGGCTTCAACTCTTGTCGGAAGACATACCCGGCTCCATTGGCGGCGCAAAACAAATGATGCCCTTCGCCGAACGTTGCCTGGCTTCTGCGACCATACTTTCCCATTTGCGTTTTGAGAGCTGTTCGTTGGCAGCTGCCATCATGAGCCCAGCTGGAAATGGCAGCCCGACCTCTTCATATCTCCTAGCTAGGGCCCAATACAGCTGGAGTCTCTTGTCGATCCGAGGATGTAATTGGTTGGCCCCCTTGCAACCACAGCCATTGCATGACATTTCAAAGGCGCTGGGTGCTGTCGCTGATCATTGCGGTCAACAATTTATAGCCAAACTGACTGGAAATTCCTCTGCCAGCTGGGTCTCGAATGGCTTTCAAACATGTTTACTGCACGATCACGCCTGCTCTTGCCCAGGCCAGAGGACTTGAAGGCCCCAGCAACAAGGCCAAGAAACGGAAAGCAAAAAGCTTGATGACTGCCCAAACATAAGGTTCTGCTGGCCCCAGGAGCCGCAGTACAACAGCAAACCATGTAAGAATGACTGCGCACTGACTCTATTGAGCTTCCCTACCAAGCAAGGGCTTCGTCTTCCAGCCTCCAAAAGGGCCACGCTCAGCACTGACAGAAAGGAGCTCACAGGGAATGATGGGAGGCATGAACATGAGAGAAAACATGTTCACACCAAAGTGAAGGCACAGGTCACAGGTCTTTGTGTTTTAACAAGCCCAACATGTAGGCCCAGCTGGTGCTTGATGCGCCACAGCCGGCTTGCCTCTGCAAGATAAGCCTGCTGCTTAAGGGTCAGCAAATACGCCCATCAGCCAGAACAAGATGTAACCGGTGCCAAACCACGATTGCTCCTGGCCCGATTTTCTTCTTGAAGCAATTCTGCCTCACTGACTAGATTGGTCAACCAATGCCAGCTCGGCTCATAACAGCCCAAATCTTGGCCAGGAAATCATATGTCATTTGCATGTTCCTGGTGACAACCCTGTCTGACCGGACGCATACATGGTAAATACGCGGCCGCCTGATGAAGGCAAACCCAGCATCTGCAGGACATACTTGAATCTGATGCAAGGTGTGGTTCGGCAAGCACTCTGTCAAAATCTCCGCATCGAACCCCAACACATTCCTCAGTCAGTCGCATCACCGCAAACAAGAATCCGCAGCAACTCTGGGACAGAAAGGCCAGAAGGCAAAAACGCACAGACAAATCTGCGCAACTTGGCAAAAGGAATTTCTGGCTAACAGCTGGGCAGCTCATGGAACCCCAGGAGGGTTCGTCTGAGGGTATGATATCTGCACCGGGAGACCAAGAATAGTATCCGAGGGTCACTCCGCCCCTTTCTCTTTCCAGCCCGGGAGAAGGGAGGGCATGGACTGCAAGCCACATCGGCCAGG